CTAGGGGAGCTGTTTAATAAGGGCTCAATGGCATGGGGAGTGACTAAAGTCAAATCCTCTCTGAAGGTCAGTTTGTCAGCCTCTTGGGTTAGAGCAGCTGCTGCTGCTACAATCCTCAGACAGGTGGGCCACCCTCGAGCCACTGGGTCTAGCCTTGTCAAGAGGTATGCCACCGGCCACTTCCATGGTCCCAAAGGCTGAGTTATCACTCCCTTAGCTACCCTGTTCTTCTCTGCTATATACAGAGTGAAGGGCTCAGTTATGTCTGGCAATGCCAGGGTTGGTGCCAAAGCAAGCATAGTTTTAAGCAGTTGGAATGCCTGCTGGCAAGCCTCAGTCCATTCGAGGGGTGTATCTCCCCTGAGGTGGCTTCGTGCAGGGGTTTGGCAATTTCAGCAAAACCTGGGATCCAAATTCTGTAATACCTGATTGCCCCTAGGAATTCATGCACCTGTTTCTTTGAGCTTGGTTCTGGAATCTGGAGAATTGCTGATACCTGTGATTCTGCCAGCCTCCTCTTCCCTTCCTCAAGAATATAGCCCAAGTAGGTTACCTTGGTCTGGCAAAGCTGAGCTTTTTTCCAGGACACCCGATATCCCACGTCTTGGAGAACTTCCAGGAGGCCCTCAGTGGCCACAAGACATTCTTCATTGGTTGAAGTTGCCACTAGGAGGTCATCTATATATTGAAGAATAGTTGCTTGGGGAAAAACTCTCCTTACCTCTCACAAATCTTTGCTGAGAGCTTCCCCAAGCAGAGTGGGAGAGTTCTTGAATCCCTGTGGCAGCCGGGTCCATGTCAGCTGTCCGGTAGTCCCAGTGTCTGGGTCAGTCCACTCAAAGGCAAAGAGGGGTTGGCTCACTGGTGCCAGAGGTATGCTGAAAAATGCATCTTTAAGGTCTAGTACCGAATACCACACATGGGCAGGAGGGATGAGACTCAGCAGACTATAGGGGTTTGGTACTGTTGGGTGGGTGGTCTCCACCCAGCTGTTCACCTCCTGCAAATCCTGTACCGGTCTGAAGTCTGAGGTGCCAGGCTTCCTCACAGGAAGCAGGGGAGTATTCCAGGTTGACTGGCAAGGGACCAAGATGCCAGCCTCTTGGAGTTGGTGGATGTGCTTAGAGATTCCCACCTTGGACTCCAGCCAGAGGGGGTATTGTCACACATGGATGGGGGCAGCAGAGGCCAGCAACTGGACCACCACTGGGGCATGGTGGTTGGCCAGCCCAGGTGGATTGGTTTCAGCCCATACCCTGGGAAACTTTTTCTGAAGGTAGTCCCATTTTTGTTCGGGGGGCTCTGCACCCTCCTTTAGCAATCTAAATTCATCTTCTAGGGGAA